CAACGTGCCTGATTCTGTTCCTGATTCTGATTACGTGCCCCGTGGTGATGCCAATGCCAGGGACACTCCAGACCAGGCCGATACCCTCACCATCGGCGCTGCTCTTGACCCTGCCTCTGCCTCTACTGCCAGTAATAAGAAGGCCCGTGGCCCCGGTCCCCTACCGAGGCAGACCGGTCCTTCCCTGCTGACCCAAGCCTTGGCTTCCGCGAGAGGTATCACCAATGTCAAATCTCCCAAATCCTTCTCTCCTACATCTACTCCTCCTATAACTTCGCCCTCTCCCGCAACTCTTACAAATACATCTACTGCCGCTCGACAGTCTAACCTAGACAAGACCGTCCCATCTTCTGCGACTATCTCGACTCCAACTACTCCGACTGCGCAGTCCAGTCTTTACTCATTGACAGGACCACCAACCGCACCAGCGAGCCTCGCTTCCCAACACGATCGCGATAGCGCCTCAAACCCCTTCGAATCTTCTTATCACAATGTTCCAGCTCAGCGCACCGCTCCTAGGCCGTTAGCTAGAGCCACTTCCGAATCTATCAATATGGGAGCGTCCACTACTGTTACAACGATGACGTCGCTCGTCCCGCGGGAGGCGGCGAGCGTCCCATCGACTTTCAGCCATTCAACTCTTGCTACTACACTTCGAGGTGCCCTTGATCATCGTGAACCGATTGACATGCCCCGTGGCAAGGCATCGGCATCTTTGGATCTCGATAGACAATCTGTTGACTACTACCAACCTCAAACTACAAGCTACACATCGGCCCTTATAGACCGACCCGTCCCCCCCGATACTCGCCCAGGAAACAAGACACCACCTTTGGCGACGCGAAAGGAGGATGCGAAACCCGTTCCACAGAGGCCGATACAGTGGGCAAAGATGCCGCCCCATTGGAGTGGCAACGGCGCTGAAAAAACCGAAAAGATATGGTCCATTGGTTCTGTGGAAGGACAAGAAGAGGACGGCTTAGTTGAGAAGTCTGTGACTGAAGCAATGGCTGGCCTGGAGCATAATGCTCGTAGCCGCAAGTCTAGCTACAGCCTACGATTCTTCAAAGAAGGTCTGCCACCAGAGGATAAGCCCCGTCGCAAGGATACAAAACAAACGGCGAAAGAGAAATTGGCACCTCTTGAAGAGGACCATCAAAATGCCTTGCGCGAAGCTTCCCAATCGACCACCTCTGACAAAGAGCCAACAACCATTCGCACTCGCCAGGAAGACCGAAAAGGTTCTTTTTTCACATCGGATTCGCTCGATGAGCAGCCTGTTCTGAGCACATCCCCTAGCGATGATTATTTTTCCATTCCAGTCAATGGCTCCATCAAATCTGAAGACAAGGCGCCGTTGCAAGTGCAGCAGCCAGTCTCCCAGGCCAAAGATGGAAACGAACAGGTGGAGTTGGCCAAAGTTGTGGGGCCGATCCCGGTCGCCAATACCGAGGCCGCCCGTGAAGCCGAAATTGTGGAGTCCAGACGGGACTCGGCGGGCAGTGCTCATACTGATGTCGGATCTCGCGATGATGGAGAAGCCGAAGAATCTGGGGAAGAAAAGATCTCATCTGCTGTCTTTTTGCCCCACCAAGAGCTCCAAGATCCTTGTGTAAGTGAACCACAGGACCGCATTGCGGCCCGTAGTATTCGCGTGCGGTCTCTATCGCAAAGTAATCAGCGCCCGTGGCTTGTGAAGGCCGATGAGCCAGAGTCGGAAGCCATTCATGAGAAGGATGAACCTCCTTATGGAATTTCCCGTCACCCTTCTCGTGAGAAGCTTACCTTGAAACGCGGTGACCTCATCCCTCAACAAGGTGAAGAGGGAGCCGTTATCGAGGAGGAAATCACAGTGACAACTGACTCTCATAAACAACCGCAAATCGTGAGCCAGTATGAAGACCATGTCCATGATCATCAGCATGACCCTCAAGAGCCTCTGGAGGCGATCGAGCTCATTCCATATAAACATCAAGTTGGTGGACACACCACCCTCTGGAGATTCTCTCGAAGGGCTGTCTGTAAGCAACTCAACAATAGGGAAAATGAGTTTTACGAGACTATAGAGAGATATCATCGTGATCTGTTGCCTTTCCTTCCTCGGTACGTCTGATCGAATTGTGTTTAGCGACCCTTTGCGCCTGTATTATCGAGATCGTGCTGAAATGCTAACTTCTGACAGCTATATCGGTGTATTGAATGTCACCTTCCAAAAACAGGCTCGCCGAAAGAGCACTTCTAAGAAAGACGAGGCGGCAGCAGCCGAGCGCAAGAAGGCACAGGAAAAGCTTGAGTCTAGTAGAAACGAACTAGAACAAAACGAGGGCCAGGATGCCATTAAAGTCGAGAAACCGACAGGCAGAGTTATTAGCCAGTCTCTCGCCAACAGCAACATCCCTGTCCCGACGGTCACTTTTGACGACAACAGGCACATCCTGCCCCGAAACCTTCTCCAGCCAATGCCTTTGCCAAGAGAATACCGACGACAAAGTATCTCAACTTCCACTGTATCCAATCCCTCCGTGCCATCCGGAACATCGAGCAGACCGCCCCTGGATGAGCGACCCAATAGTTGGGGCGCAACCATGGTCAACAAGAGGCTGAGGAACGAGGTTTTCAACGACGCTTTCCTGAAAGAGCCTGTCAAGATTCATCGACATCGCCGACCACACCAACGATCAATCCCACGACCTACTTTGCAACGTCTCCTACGATCCACGAATTCCGATCCTGCTTTGATCAAAAGTGACTCCCCGTTCATCAACGGCCACGATGAAGCAAACGGCTATCCTCAGGCAAGAAAGATTGCGCATAACTACTCACACAGTGATCTCGGACCTGGTATGGATGAATACGTTCAGTCTGAGCCTGAGCAGGCTCCCGAAGAAATTAAAGATGTGACTGGAACAAGCGCTCCGGAGCCGGAAACTCTGAAGGAAAACCCTCTCACAGCGAAGAAGAAGCGCAGGTATTCTGCTGGTGGTCTTCGACGGAAACCCGAGGATGTTAGAGAATCCAGGGGAGACTTGAAGTACTTTGAGGAGGCTGATGATGCTGGGTATAAGGGAGACAACGAAGATAAGCCTAAGCGACACTCAAGGACACATTCTGCGAATGGACACCATCATCATGACACAAATGGTGCCCACCATCAGTCACAGTACCTGGAACATCTACGCCCTGAAGATGAGTTTGCCATTGAATCGGCTGATCCCAACCCGGCCATGGAAGAGACCGCCCACGAGTTCACCAAGATTCCTAGGCCAGTCAACCCGAAAGAGGCAAAGACTCAAAAGGATCGAGTCGAATACTTCTTGCTCTTGGAGGACCTTACCTCAGGGATGAAGAGACCCTGTATGATGGATCTGAAGATGGGAACTCGACAGTATGGCGTCGAGGCTACTCCAAAGAAGCAAAAGTCGCAAACTGAAAAGTGTCGAAACACAACATCAGCTGAACTAGGCGTTCGAATTTGCGGATTGCAAGTATGGAACGCTGCGAAGGAAACATATGACTTTCAGGATAAATACTATGGCCGCAAACTGAAAGCTGGAGACGAGTTCCAAGGCGCATTGCAAAAGTTTCTATTCAATGGTGTCGATCTGCATAGTATTCTGCGACATATTCCAGTTGTGCTCAAGAAGCTTGGGCAACTCGAACAAATTGTGAGCAAGCTGAACGGTTACCGTTTCTACGCCGCGAGCTTGCTCATGTTTTATGACGGCGATACGTCCGAGGACGCGGACAACGAAACGATGTACGAGTCTACCACGGACTGTGCAACAGATACAGAGGAGACTTCGCGAAAGAAGACGAAGAACAAGAGGGAGATTGATTTCAAGATTGCGGATTTCGCCAACAGTGTCACGCCCTTTGATAAGATTGACGACAAGCCTTGCCCTCCACAACACCCTGATCAACCTGATGGTGGCTTTCTCAAGGGCTTGCGTAGCCTGAGAAGATATTTCCTCCAGATTCAAAGGGACGTGAGACAGGAGCTGGGACTTGATCCTTATGGTAGATTCTCGCATCACACGGACTATGCCGGAGATCTTGATGCCGAGAACGGGATGGTCAGTCTTTAGATGACCTTAGATGAGGACGGTGGTGTACGTTTGAGACGAAGTGTCTGATACCCATTACTTCTTTTCACTTGGACGGTTTTGCAAATGGACTTTTGCTTTTGCTTTTGCTTTCGCTGGAGTTTGGTCTGTTTTTCTTGGCACTTTTACTTTTCTCTTTCATGGCCAACTTCTCTCCCACGGAGGGACCCTGGAGTTCACAGGAATTATCACCATGGCGGTATGGAACTGGAACAAAACCCAAAGGGTAGAAGGAACAGGACTTATGTCTTATGACATGTTGAATTCAACTCAAAACATACCCTGCATTGGTTATGGCGCAACAGCAAACAGGAAAGGAGGGGGGCCGGAGCTGGAGTTTGAAAAGCCCGTTTTTATTGTCGACTCTTTGTTTCACTTGGGCTGGAAGTGAGCGATGGATCGAGGAGGATGGAATGGCAGCAGCTCTGGCTTCGCTGCAGGAAGTGCTTTGGTTTTGGATTTCTTGATGTGTAGTTTCGTTGGAGTTGGGGATGGGGAACGAAAACCAGAATGATGATGGTGTTTTTGTTTGTTTGGCGATCTGCTTGTACCTTGACGGCAGTGAAACGGACATATCCTGGAGGTTTCGACAAGGTAGCTCTTAGACGTTAGAGAAAATGCAAGCTAAAGGTCGTTGGTTCATAATCTGTATACTGAGGTCTGAAATCTTGGTCTCGTATCTAAACAAGTGAACACATCTGCAAGACTACTAAAGTTAGCGTCGCAACTGGTTCCTGCGAGATAACTGTTAGCTAACAACAACCCTGTCCAACCTACCATTTGTGGTTGGATGCATCGTAAAATGCTACTATACATGCCGATTGTTCCTGTGACAGCTATATACTCTCTCCATAGTAATTCAGCGCATTCATCTGACCGTATTTCTCACCAGCAAATATGGGTTCCATTATATCGACGCTTAAATCAACGGCATCGGCCATATCAGCTGGTCTGAGGACTGTTCTGACGCTTCACAGGCAATTCTCATCTCTTCTTGAACGCGCGTCCTCAGAGCCTGGATTTCCCGTGCCAGAGCCCACAAAGTCATATTGGCTCGACGACCCGCCATTCCCAGCACTATGCGACATCCAAGATGACAAGCTTCCCTCCGAAGTAGACGTCGTCGTCATCGGCAGCGGCATCACAGGCGCAGCTGTAACTAAATCTCTGCTAGAGCTGTCCAACTCTGGTCTACGAGTTGTAGTCTGTGAAGCAAGACAGCTATGCAGCGGTGCAACGGGTAGAAATGGCGGACATATTAAGAGTGCGCCATATGATGAATTCGCCATGTTGAAGTCAAAATTGGGACAGGAGAATGCGAGTCGGATAGTGAGGTTTAAGAGAAGGCATTTGGAGATGATGAAGCAGCTGGGCAAGGGGATCGAAGTAGCTGAGGTTAGGGAGGTTGAGACGGTGGATGTTTATGTTGAGAGGGAGGATTTTGAGAAGGCGAAGAAGCAGGTTAAAGATGTTAGCGAGTGGATTCCTGAGGAGAAGCATCGGGTTTGGGAGGCGGAGGAGGCGAGAAAGGAGGTGAGTTTTCTGTGGGTGAAGATTATGAGTGAGGGACTAATGAGGACAGTTTGGTTTGAATGAGCTTGCTGTGGGAGCTGTGACTTACACAGCTGGTGCACTCTGGCCATATCGTCTTGTCACCAGTGTGTGGAACGATTTACTCGAGAGATTCCCCGGGTTGAGTATCAACACTCATACACCCGTTGAAAAGGTATCTCATAACCCAAACGGATCATATGCAGTTACAACACCTCGTGGAATCATCAAGGCGAAGCATGTAATTCACACAACGAACGCTCATGCCGGACAACTCCTCCCTCCAGTAAGGGGCTGTGTCGTCGGTGCCATCGCACACATGAGCGCTCAACGACCAGGGTCTTCATTCCCCCCAACCCAAGGAAACCGCTCATGGTCTGTGATTTACGGCCCAGGCTTCGACTACATAACCCAACGCCCAGATCGAGCAGATGGAACAGCCGGTGATCTAATGGTAGGAGGCGGTTTCTTCCGCAGCAAGGACGACGGTCTGGATCAAGTTGGT